ACCCACACTGCTTTCATTATCAGACCCTGTGTCTGCTACATCCATGGTAGTGGAGGAAGAAGATGTGGATGGTGAGGGTAGGGTCCGAGAATGATCCAGGTCAGCTGTTTCAATACCGGAGGATATGGTAGTACTAGCTGGAGAGCCACCCCAGATTTGTTCGCACAGTTCGAAGTACAGAAGAACCACTCGACCGTGTCCACTCCTGCGTCCTGTATCAACAGCATGGCGATATTTACCTCGGACTGCTTTCATTTTTGTTGTTAAATTCCCGCGCGTGATGTCGGCATGTGAATGGGGAAACTCGTCGGAGGACTCCGTTGGGTAATGCTCTAAAAAAAGCGCTAAAATATCAACATACTTGTTCTGACAGGATTCCCAGTCGACATTTTCCTGAGTTTTATTAACTTTGTACTCCAACACGGTATTTAATAGTAGTTCAACTCGCGGTCTGTCCACACAAACGAACCTCCAGGCGCCATGATTCAATACTAACAGGAAGTTGTGGTTGCTTTGAAGGGTTGTGATTGGCTGATATACGTTTCACCTTTGCACTACACTGCCTCCTATGGGTTGGGCATATTCTTTACAACGCTCTGTGGTGAACATCACCGGGTTCATGTAGACGATCATTTTCTCTATCCGAACATGTATGTACGGCGATATTTTTTTGCGCGGATATTCGTTTTTTCAAACACCAGGCTACGTGTGTACAGGGCCTTAAAAATAGCACCTTCTCGTTGAGGATCAACCAGTTTGTTGTTGACATCCAGAACCAGCTGTTCATGTGATCAAGAAGGACCATCAGCCTAACAATGGATCGTTAGCACCCTGATGGCTGTTTACTATTCACAGAGGGCTGAGTGATACTAGCAATCACAGCATTGTAAGAGGGGGACAGTTGAACACGGAGGCCTCCACCCCTGTTTAATGATGGACAGTTTCATTTCACAAAGATGGCTGGCTGGAGTCCTGTTTGGGTTCTTCTCCAAACAGGACTCCAGTCAGCCATCAAGTGAAAAGGAGGAACCAAGACCAGTGGTCATTCTGTATGTTCCGGGAGAAACTGAGACGTTTATTTTCTAAACATAACGTCCCAGTGGCTTTTAAACCCCAAAATACATTACAGCAAAGGCTGGTTCATCCCAAAGAGCCAGTCCCTGGCACAAACAGAGTAATATTGTGTATGTTGTTCAATGTCAGGAGGGCTGTGATCAGTCTTACATCAGGGAAACTAAACAGCCACTCTCAACAAACAGTAAACTCTCCTTAAAAAAACACAGAAGAAGTTCTACTTCCGGGATGAACGTAAACAAACCCGAGCACCCAAAATGGACCCACGACAGGTTTTAATGACGGTGGAGACGTTGCTGCACTCCCTGACTGATTTACAGGTAATAGAGATCATTTTTAGCTCTTTCAAAGTTTCTAGTAGAAATGTTGTCTCTCACCGACCAGTTTTGCTTCCCCGACATGCTAATATTATTAGCATTAGCCAGGCGGAAATGACAGTCGCACATGCGCAGTCAGGTCAGTTTTTCATGAACAGATCGACGTAAACCACCCGTTTCGTTCTGATCACAAATTATTTTGGATCACGCTGAATAAACAAAAAATAACCCAAACGGGGTGTTTACATGACGCGTTTTTATTCCGAACGGCCGTTTGATCCGATTACGTAATGTCCATGTAAACATAGCTACTGCTGTTATTGCTAGTATCACTCAGCCCCATGTGAATAGTAAACAGCCATCAGGGTGCTAATGATCCATTGTTAGGCTGATGATCCTCCTTGATCGTATGAACAGCTGGTTTTTCCTGTCAGCAGCAAAACTGGTTGATCCTCAATGAGAAGGTGCTATTTATAAGACTGAGCTGAATGCAGCTCCTCAGAC